CTCCAGAACTAGTCTCCTTATCTGTCACAGAGACCAGGTTTTATCCTCCCTTGTATCTCTAACTATATCCAGAACTCAGGTCTCATCTTCCTTTAACAGCTGCAGGACCTTAACAAAGTTACCACGTTCTCAGATTCAGTGTCCTTATTTGTCAAACAGAGATCATTATCATACCTTCCTCATGAGGTTTTCAAAAGATTAGATGAAACAGTGATAGAATATATGTCAAGCACTTAGCAGGGTGCTTCCCAGCACGCAACAGATGCTCAATAAATGGTAGTTGGCCTTACTGTTAGTGCCTGGGGTCTGTCCTTGTGCTGTCTACCTTCTAGGTAAAAATTGTAAATTGTGCCTCAGATCATGTTACTTTCCTTCTCCATGCTTTAGGTACCTTGTCACGTACAGATAAAATCTAACCTCAAGGGAACCAAGGCTGCATAATGAATCTTGTGGGCCCTAAGCACTTTGGCCTTCACAGAAAAACAATAAAACAAGAATTTAAAAAAGAGTATTAAAAATCTTATTTGATAACTGTGTCTTTCTGATTTTAAAAGAAATTTAAACATCTTCCTGAACCCTTAAAAATATTGGGGGACCTAGGCACTGTGTTTACTGTGATGAATAGATAAGTCCTCCCTGAAGGGACCATGTACCTTCTCTCTATCTCTTTTTATCCCCAGTCTTGCTGAGGTTATTTCCTCCCACCCATCTTTTTTTCTTTTAGTTTCTCTCTCTCTCTTTCCTCCCTCCCTCCCTCCCTTCGTTCCTTCCTTTCTTCCTTCCTTCCTCTTTCTCCATCCTTCCCTGTTACTCCTTTCTTACTTGATGTCTTTCTTTTGTTTCATTAGTTTTTGTTCTTTTGTTTATTATTGCTTTCTTTGGGCTTCCTTTCTTTTTTTTTCTAATTCCTTGGGTTATATGCTTACCTTATTAATTATCAGTTCTTCCTTTCCCCCCCTTAATATACGCATTTATATAGTTACTTCCAAGTATTGCATTAGCACGATCCTACAAGCTTTGAGATGTACTGTTTCATGTTCTGTTAGTTTCATGTAACTTCTAATGGCAATATGATTAATTATTTGACCCATATTTGTTTTAGAAGTCTTTTAAAACTGCCCAAATGTGTGAATCCTTTGTGGTCTTTTATTGTTGGCTTCTGTTTTTTATTGCTTTATGTTCAAAGATGACCTGTAAGCTAGGTTGAGACTTTTTTGTGGCCTGTCAATTGTTTAAATGTTCCATATACTCTTGTAGAGAATGTACGATTATTAGAAAGTCAGGTACAATGTCCATTAGATCAAACATCTTAATTTTGTTGTTCAGTTCTACCGTATCTTTGCTGAATTTTTGTCCTTCTCTGTTCAGTACTGAGAGATGTGTTAATATTTCCCACTATGATTGTGGATTTGTTCATTTCTTCTTGTAATGTGGTCCATTTTTGCTTTATGTAGTTTGAAGCTATGTTGTTAGGTGCTTTGTTGTTAGGTGCTTTGTCATTCCTAAGAGCTTCTGGTGGATTGCTACTTTTATCATTATGTAACGACCTTCTTCATCCCCATAAGGCTGTTTGCCCTAAAGTCTGTTTTTATCTGATGTTAATAGAGTGATTCCAGCTTTCTTTTGGTTAGTATTGTCATGGTCTATATTTTCTTTATTCAATTCCACTCTGTTTTTTTAATATTGATTGTATTCATTTTGTGTAGTTACTATAACCAATTACCATAATCTTGATGGTTTAAAACAACGGAAATTTTTTCTCTCACAGTTTGAGGCTAGAATTCTGAAATCGAGATGTTGGCCGAGCCATGCTTTCTCTGAAGGGTCTGGGAAGTAATCCTCCCTTTCCTTTTCCTGGCTTCTGGGAGTTGTTAGCAGTCCTGGGCATTGCTTGGCTTGCAGCTGTATCCTTCAATATCTGTTGTCAAATGACCTTCTTCCCTCTGTGTATCTGTGTTTCTATCTCTAAATTTTTCTCATATGAGTACACCAGTTATATTAATTTGATTACATATGCAAAACCCCTATTTCCAAATAAGGTCATACTCATAGGTTCAGAGTAGACAGGGGGCCACTGATCAACTCAGTACCTTCATAACTAGAAATTAGGAAACATTTAAGGCGTACAAAAGGTCTCGTATTCTGTGCACGTTTGAGCTCCAAAATGCCAGCCTTTAGTTAATGAGCAATGCATCCTTCACCCCATCCCAGCAGATAGTCTCAGCTCTGATTATAACTTACCTCTGGGTGTTTCCTTTAACTTATTGCAAGCTCAGCTATGCATTTACAGTATTAAAAAAGTTTTCATTCAGAATTTCTAGGTAGTTTATTGGAAAGTTTTCCTGTTGTTTTAGCCTTCCATCTTGCTGGAAATAGAATTGTCTATCATCAGTGGGTTTTTAAAAATAGCTTTATTGAGATTTTTTTCACATGATATCATTCATCCACTGAACGTGTACAATTTAGTGGCTTTTAGTATATTCACAAAGTTGTGCAAATATCACCACACTCTATTTCCGGAACATTTCCATCGCCCAAAAAAGACACTCGATACACGTTAGCAGTCACTCCCCATTCCCTCCCCAAATACCCACCACCCTAAGCAGATACAGTTCTACTTTCTATCTCTATAGATGTGCCTATTCTGTGCGTTTCAGGTAAACAGAACCATACAGTATGTGGTCTTTCCTGTCCAGCATTATTTCTTCGGCATGTTTTCAAGGTTCACTCATGTTGTATATATCACTACGGACAGTCTCTGACTTACAGTGGTTCGATTTATGATTTTTTTGACTTTATGATGGTACAAAAGTGATAAGCATTCAGTAGAAACCATACTTTGAATTTTGATCTTTTCCTGAGCCAGCAATATGCAGTACGGTACTGTCTTATGATGCTGGGCAGTGGCAGCGAGCCACAGCGCCCAGTCAGTCACGTAACATGAAGGTAAACCGCCAACACATTTACAACCATTTTGTACCCATGCAACCATTCTGTTTTACACTTTCAGTACAGTATTCAATACATTCCATGAGATATTCAACACTCTTTATTATAAAACATGCTTTGTGTTAGAATGAGTTTGCCCAACTGTAGGTAAGTGTTCTGAGCACGTTTAAGGGAGGCTAGGCTAAGCTGTGATGTTTGGTAGGTTAGATGTTTTAAATGCATTTTCAACTTACGATATTTTCAACTTATGATGAGTTTATCGGGATGTAACTCTTTTGTAAGTTGAGGAAGATCTGTACTTTTTAAAAAAGATAGTTTTTTTATTGCCAGATAATATCACATTGCGTGGATGTACCGCATTTTGTTTTATTCACTTATCAGTGGATAGACACAGCTAATACGAATAATGCTTCTATGAACATTTGTGTACAAGTTTTCAAGTGGGCATGTCTTTTCATTACTCTAGGGTAAAAAATGGAACTGCTGGATCATATGGTAAAACTACGCTTAGCATTTTGAAGAACTGCCAAAGTATTTTCCAAAGTAGCGCACCATTGTGCGTTCCCACTAGTAATGTCCTATCGGGAGTGATTTTAAAATCCAACACAGGTGTCTGTACTTGACCTGGGACGAGTCCTTACAGATTTGGGAGCACAGTGAAGGTGATGTTATTGGAACGGTTGGTGCACGGTGATGTGGCACGAGAGATTAAAGGCCAGGAAGCAGGTCACCTCCTGTGACCAGAAAGTGTTGGAGTAATCCAGTTCTCAGTTGATGGTTCCTCTGTTGGGCTGGCGGAAAAGATGTCAGGGTTCCCGAAAAACGCCATGGACGGTGGAAATGATTCTCAGGTAGCAAAATGATGTTCACTTGAGACCAATCCTGAGATGCTTGCTGAACCTTTCCTTTTTGATTTTATATCACAGAAAATAAATTTTTATTTTCAGAGAAGCAGGAAACGGAATCCAGGTGTTGCCATTATGGGGTGGAGGAGCATCCTGTGACTGGAGCAGATTTACTGGCCTTTGACTTACTTGAGGATGCCTTCCTGGGAGTTTGTGGTCCTCCTAGGCTTTGTGGTCTGCCCTCCATGAAAGCTGAGGATGCTTTTTACATCTCTGGTCCATGGTCTTCCTGCCCGTGGCAGGAAGTGGGGTGTGTGTGTGCACATGCCTGACGGTGAACAGGGTAGCTTGGGCATTTGAAATAGCAAAAGAGAATGAGAGCCCTTAACAGCAAGAGTTTTCAAGCCGAGAAGTAAAACCTCCCATAACTGTAGGATTTAAAAATTGCCCATCAAGCTGTTTATCGTTTAATGGAACAATAGGTATAAAGCTACCACCATCCTGGGAACGTGCAGTTGCTCAATGAGGCTTGTTCCCGAGGCCTTCTACTCTTCTGGGCACGGTTATCACCCTTATGGGTTTTTCTTCTCTGTGATTTATTCTCAAACATTTTGTATTTCCTTTTTGCCATTTAAATGAGATTTAAATAAAACCATTAGGTATAGAACGGTGGCAGATGGTTACACACTTTAAACTCATGATAAAATCAATCTGTATATTATTCTCTGTTCAAATGAAGCAAAAACACCTGCAGTCTGGAAGTTCCTTATTGCTGCCTTTTCTGTGTTGTACTGCGCATCTGCTGGAATATCTAGCCTTGTGGTAATTGATCGTGAAGAAAGGAAATCAGGCAGGGATGACAGCCCGAGTTCTGTCCCATTTTGTGCGTCTTTCTTGGTCCACATGTCCCCTGCTTTTGGCAGTCTCTCCCTTTTATAGACCGCCCCTGCCATCCACCCCATTTCCCAAAAGGAGGGAGAGGCTCTTCATGGGTGACCAGCCTTCACCCCACACCTCACAGTTGCTCTGACCTCCCTCTCAATTGAAATGTGTTCAGGACATATTCTGATATCAGTAAATCGAGAACATAATTTTTTCTGTGACAGGTAATGTTAAAATTTCCACTGAAGCTATATCTGAGCCTGAGTGGCATATCCTCGTATGGTGATTTTCAAATAATTCTTTTTCTCCCCCTCCTTTTTCTAGGTTTATCTAAATCCCTTGGGCTCATTGAAGGTTATGGTGGGCGGGGCAAAGGGGGCCTTCCTGCTACCCTTTCCCCGGCTGAAGAAGAGAAAGCCAAGGGACCCCATGAGAAGTATGGCTACAATTCCTACCTCAGTGAAAAAATTTCACTGGATCGTTCCATTCCGGATTATCGTCCCACCAAGTAAGTTCTGATTCAGTCACTCAGAGGCGCGTGCTTTATCAGATGGCTGGGCGTAGACCCATGTCTGTGACATTTTCTTGTGTTACTTGTAACTAGTGGAGGGGCTTTTATCTCGTCTCCTCCATAATCAATAAATAGTACTATTGATTATGAAAATAAATAGAGCTAAATAAGAATTTTTAATTTTTATAAAATAATACAGAAGCATAGAGAAAGATCCGTGATACAAAAAATTTTTAAGTAAAAATTTAAAAATCAACATGATCTCATTACCTACAGGTGGTGACTAGTAAAATACTAGTATTTTGTCTTTGAGTCTATTTTCTATACAGATTATGAGCCTATGGTGTGTTTCATTTATCCTCTTTTTCATTTATTATTTCATGAGCATTTTCTGATGTTATTAGTTATGATCATTATTTTCATTGTTAGAAATCTAGATTATTTCCAAATTTTCATTATTAGAAATATGAAATATTTATAACATTATAAATATTTATAATTTTTATAAAATAAATTTTCATTTTTATAAATAAAAATTTATTTTAAAATTTTCATTATTATAAATAACACTTGGATGGATATCTCCCCACTCAAATCTTTATGTATATTGATTTGATATTTACTTTCTTAATCCACACTTCTAAAGGTGTAATCCTTAGATCACATTGTAGGAGTACTTTTGGAGGCCCTAGATACATATAGCGATATTTTCCTCCAGAAAGTTTATAGAAGTTTCTGCTCCTATTAGAACTTTACTAGACCCTTCCCAAACTGGGTACTAGCATTTAAATAATGCTTTTCCCAGCTGGTAGGTGAAAGAGTACATCCTGTGATTGTTTCAACTTACAATTTTTGTTTGAGATTCTTACCTTTGAAACAGTTTGTTTGTGTCTTGGTTGGTTTATGAGACGTCTTTGTTCTGTGCCCTCAGATTTAAGAATTATTTGTTTTCTCCTTGTGAAAGAGAGAAGAGAGATTGGTGGGAAAACCAAGATGCTGGGGGAAAATATCCTATTTTCTAGGCAGTAGTCCTCCTTGGCTTTTCAAACAGATGCTTCATCTTCTGTTAGATTTGTGGTGTCTCTCTTTCTTTCATTTGCAGTGTGCCCTTGCTTAGAGTAGATTATTTCTTTTTCGAATGGATTTTGTACAAATCAGTTAAGTATCCTGGTTACTGAGAAAAATAGATTCAAGATAAGGAAAATTACCTTAAATGAATTTAAAATTGCAGCATTAGCTGAGAAAACTGTTAAATCTCTCTCTCTGCCTAATAAGCATATATTCATTTTGAATCACTAGGAAAACATACATCACCCCTGTTGGAAGCTATTTTGTGTTCCTGGACTTTTGCTCTCAAAAACATCTGGCTGTTTTCATTTCCTGGTGCTCTCTGATTAGCCTTTCTTATTTGGATGTTGGCAAATAAACAGAGCTGTTATTTTTGTAGTCCTGTGAGAATGAAGATGCTTCCAACGTGGAGCTTAGTGGAAATGGGTCAGTTGAACAATATCAGTGAGCACATGTTATGTACCAGATGGTTTTCCCCACACTAGAGGCAGAACATTGGCTAAGGTAGTCCTTGCCTACATACTCTTGTCAGGGGAGGGAGACAGATGTGCAAGCAGGTCAATCCAGCACATCGTGGTCTATGTGGGTATGTCAGGCCAGAGACATACACAGTATGTACAGGGAGGATCTGGGAAGGTTTCCTGCCTGAGATGATGCAGAAGCTTGATCTTGAAGGCCCATTAAGGGTTAGAAAATTAAAGAGAGGAGACACATATAGACAAGTAGGAAGGGGAATAGCAAGATCAGAGCTGGGGATGCAGATGAAAACATGGCACGCCCAGGGAGGGATACACAGGTCTGTGGTGCTCTATAGTGTAGCATGGTGGCTTGAATATACCAGGGGTCCCCAACCCCCAGGCCGCGGACCAGTACTGGTCCGTGGCCTGTTAGGAACCGTGCCGCACAGCAGGAGGTGAGCGGTGGACGAGTGAGTGAAGCTTCATCTGCCGCTCCCCGTCGCTCACGTTACCGCCTGGACCATCCCCTTCCCCCCCCAACCCCACGCCCATGGAAAAATTGTCTTCCAGGAAACCGGTCCCTGGTGCCAAAATGTTTGGGGACTGCTGGAATACACCACTTAGATTTCGTCCCTCCGGAAACTTTACTAAGATGATAGTAAAGGACTACAGAGGATGACAGCCTATAAGGGACAAAAACAGGTTAGGCTCCCACAGCAGGGAAGAAACACCCACAAAGTTTTGGAAGATGGAAAGAGGATGGATGAATGGTAACTGACGTAGCAAACTGGATGAGGCTGAGACCCAACCTTCTACATATGATGGGAAGTGGTGGGAAGGGCAGAAGAATATAGCCTAGTCACACCTCAGAACCCCAGAGACTCAGGAATTGGAGGTTCTGGGTACCTCTGATGGCTGGGAGGTAGATTTGAATAGAAGGATTATAGCTGTGTCCCCAGATCCTTTCTTCAACTTTACAGAGCCAGACGCTGCCCTTCCCTACCTGGTGGAACATGGGAGGTTTATTCCCTGGAGAAGGTGAACTCTGGGCTTTAGTTCATAAGATGACAGAAGATAGGGCTGTGTACTAAGTGGGGACACCCTTGGCCTCATTACCTCTGCAAGCTTTCACACTCCTGTAGTCCAGATTTGGAAGAATCCACTCTAAGGAAGCCATTCAACCTCAGAGAAATGCCAATAGATCTGATAGGTCCCCGCATCCCCGAAATGTCTGGGTTCTACTCATTAAACATTCGTAAGGCTCTTCCATCTACACAGAGCAGTCTTACTCTAAAATAAGAAAGGAGAACCAGAATCCCTAGACATTTCAGGAGAATCTCTATTATAAAGGGGCTTAGCAACAAGAAGAAGAACAACAGAAAAGGCATTTGGAGGAAACAGACACACTTTAAAACTATAATTAATGTCTTAGTTCATGGAATGTTTTGTTTTATTCACAAAATAAGAATCAAGTGCTATGTTAAAGTGATAATCAGAGAATGAACAAGAGGTCTTGGAAGTTAAGAATAAGATAGAAATAAATAGTTCAATGAAAGTTTAGATAAATTATTGTGGTGATCACTTCAAAATATATACAAATATCGAATCATTATGTTATATACCTGAAACTAATACCAGGTTATATAGCCACCGTGCTGTACAATACATCCTCGTGACTTATTTTATAACCGGAGTTTGTACCTGTTGACTCACTTCATCCATCCCCACCCCCTCCTCACCTCTGGCAACTGTGATCTGTTCTGTCAATGAACTTGGGTTTGTTTTTTAAGAGTCTGTGTATAAGTGAGATCTTACAGTATTTGTTTCTCTGACTTCCTTCACTTAGCATAATGCCCCCAAAGTCTATTCATGTCATTGCAGTTGGCAAGATGTCACTCTTTTTGTGGCTGACTCATATCTATATGTACCACATTCTCTTTATCCATTCATCTATTTGTGTACACGTAGTTTGTTTCCATATTGTGCCTGTTGTAAATAATGCTGCAGTAAACATGGGGAGGGTGAATATATCTTTGTGAATTAGTGTTTTGTTTTTTTTTTTTTGCGGTACGCGGGCCTCTCACCGTTGTGGCCTCTCCCATTGCGGAGCACAGGCTCCGGACGCGCAGGCTCAGCGGCCATGGCTCACGGGCCCAGCCACTCTGCAGCATGTGGGATCTTCCCGGACCGGGGCACAAACCCGTGTCCCCTGCATCGGCAGGCGGACTCTCAACCACTGCGCCACCAGGGAAGCCCTATTTTTGTTGTTTTTTATATAAATACCCAGAAGTGGAATTGCTAGATCATATGGTAGTTCTATTTTTAATTTTTTGAGAAACCTCCACATTGATTTCCATAGTGGCTGCACCAATTTACATATCTAGCAACAGTGCAACAGCCTCCCTTTTCTCCACATCCTCGCCAACACTTGTTTTTCTAGTCTTTTTGTTAATAGCCATTCTAACAGGTGTGAGGTGATATCTCTTTTTTTTTTTTTTTTTTTTGGCTGCATTGGGTCTTCGTTGCTGCGCGCAGGCTTCCTCTAGTTGCGGCGAGCAGGGGCTACTCTTCGTTGCGGTGCGCGGGCTTCTCATTGCGGTGGCTTCTCTTGTTGTGGAGTGCACAGGCTCAGTAGTTGCGGCTCACGGGCTGTAGAGCGCAGGCTCAGTAGTTGTAGCACACGGGCTCAGTTGCTCCACAGCGTGTGGGATCTTCCCGGAGCAGGACTCGAACCCGTGTGCCCTGCATGGGCGGGCGGATTCTTAACCACTGCGCCACCAGGGAAGTCCCTCTCATTGTTTTTTATTTACATTTGCCTGATGATTAGTGATGTTGAGCATCTTTTCATGTATCTGTTGCCCATCTGTATATCTTGTTTGGAAAAGTGTCTATTCAGATCCTCTGCCCATTTTTTTTTTTTTTTTTTGCGGTACGCGGGCGTCTCACTGTTGTGGCCTCTCCCGTTGCGGAGCACAGGCTCCCGACGCGCAGGCTCAGCGGCCATGGCTCACGGGCCCAGCCGCCCCGCGGCCTCTGCCCATTTTTAAATCAGATTGTATGGGGGTTTTTTGCTGTTGAGTTATATTAATTCTTTATATATTTTAGATATTAATCTCATCAGATTTATGATTTGCAAATACTTTCTCCCATTCAGTAGGTCGTCTTTTCATTTTGTTGATGGTTTTCTTTGCTGTGAAGAAACGAATTTAGTCTCCCTTATTTATTTTTGCTTTTGTTGTCTTTGCAAACAAAAAAAAATTTTTACCATTCTTTCAGAAAGTTTGGAACTGAATTAGTGATGGGCGCACACACACACACACAAAGCTTGTGAAAAAGGAAAGCAATTATTAGCACAGGAAAAACCCAAAAGTTCCTCAAGAAAGGAATTGCAATTCCATATATTCTGTGGCTGAGCTGTGAACAATATCATGATACAAATATTGAATAGATATTAAACCACAAATTATGGTA